ACCCAGGCACCGCCATTTTGAAACACCGCTCAAGTACCGTTCAAAGATCGGACGTCCGCTTTCTCGCACGCGTATATCAGCGCCGCCTACAATGTGTTTCCGAAAGTGCCGTTTCTCCGCTGGATTCTGGGCCCGGAAAATGCATGCCCTGTTTCGCAGCGCCCACATTCTTTGTCCGTGAGAACGGTGTCGCTTTCAAGGGAATTGGCCACGTTTTTTGAAAGTGTATTTTCTCGAAGATGTTTTTCGAGTAACTAGAGTGTCAAAGAAAAAAACAAAAAAACGGAGCAATATTTCTGTGTGAGAGCACTCGAAGAGCCAATGACTGCAGTGTGCGGTGAGAGCCTGACAAATGGCGAGGCCCGACGAACAGCGTCTCGTAGATAAGAAATCCGAATTTCTTCACGAAGGCCAGAGAACGATGTTCGGTAGGAACTCTCGTCCAATCAGTGCAAGCCAAGTCCGATCTCTGGCCGGCCTTCGTTAGTGACGGACCAAAGCACTTGGGCTTTCTTATCGAGGAGACGGTGGCCCGACACGCGCTCACGTCACGCTTCGTGTCCCATCGACGCAGACGTTGAGGGCCTTTTCTTGGTCTCGCTCAACCAGTCTACGGGTCTGGCCTGAACTTGGGCTACCGCCTCCTAAAGTCACTGGATCCTGGGAAAGTAAAGCCAAGCTCCGCGTGTGGTCGCCATCTTGGTCCATGAAATGAGCAATTTCTCCTTGACCCCTCCGTTCTTGGTGAGCCTATCTAGATTCGCTGGAGTCGGGTTATTGAGTCGTTTTTTGTGTACCGAGATTTTGCTGACCACACAAAGGCAAAACAGGCGTACACGTTCATACCACCACCAGACGCTGTGTCGGTGCTTGGAGGCACGGAAAAATAAGTTTACCATCTTGAAATGCGCAAGAAGAACAATATAATTGTAAGAGATCCATGGAGATGGGCCTGATTAATAAGTTGATCGCATACCAAGTGCCAAAGACCATTATATTGAAGAGGAACGCTTCCAGCACGATGATGCTCCATGGTGATCTTGGCGCTAACTGGTTTAGAACGACCCCCTGGAAGCTTCGAAGATTTAAATGGACCAAGATGGCGATTTCCATGGCAACGTAGCCCGATTAGCCAATCGCCTTGCGTGGTTTGGGTCGTCTGTATGTTAGTATCCGTTTGTGCCCGGCTAGCAGTTAGGGAAGGCAATGGCGCTACTTTCCCAAGATCCAGTGACTTTACCGCCTCCTAGACGCGATATATTTGAGCGCACTATTCGGAGCGCGTGATCGGAACTATTTCTCATCTACCCGAAATAGCAATTTTGATTGGGCGGAATGTACGTTAACGTGGCGCATTCCTTCCAATCAAGATTGCGAGCAGACCCTAAGTGGGAGGCGGGAACAATATGGTGTCCAGTCAGTAGCGCATAGAGCAGTTGGATAGTCGCCTTCTGCGCACCGCCATCTTCTCTCCCAAAATATCAGCCCATGGGGACTTGTTCGCCTTGCTGCGTAAGAAGAGTGGAGTTGGCCAAAAGGGCCGCGGAGAGAAGAACAATCGTGCGGATGAGAATTGCGGGATCCTCACTCGCCCCGGACCTTTTCTTTCTCGGCTTCTGATTGGACGGCACAAGGCTGCGTAACCGCAGCCGCTTCGGAAGTTGAGCAGGGTTCTACTCTCTCGGCGACGCGAAGGCCTCACTCAAACGCGTTCGAATGCAAATCTGTGTATGCGCCTGAACGCCCAGTGCTTGCGTTTGCTCCTGTACGCTAAAACTCTCGAATCTCGGGGCACCCTAAAGAGGGGCGACATTGTTGCGCAAACACGGCGTTCCGCTAAAGGGGCCCCCGAGGCTCGAATGAAACAGGACACTAACGTTTCTGGGTGCCATTTCCGCGGGAACGGCATACAGGCTTCGAGACCAGCACGCGTTCTGGCTTGGAGACGGCTTGAACAAGCTATTGGCATCTCAAGTGCTACAGATGGGGCACAACGGTTTGTTTCTCTCGGGGAGGTTAACGTCTCACCGAGGCGCATTTCTAGACCTGTTGTCATCAAACGCTTAGTCCTGGTTTTCCGTTGCCAGTTTCAGTGGCTCGCCATCGCGGTGAGACACGGGTGTTTTTATGCAATATTTTGGCCAGCGGTTTCGCTCATACCACAACAGCTATGTATTGTTAATCCAATGTTAAAGAATAAAAACAAATACGAAGGACGAATGATCACTATCTCTCAAAAAATAATTAATCATCTTAACAAAGCCCTCGTACAAACTAGCTCCGTACGTTGTGTGTGTTTTACTATTATAATTTATTTTGCCTCCTCCGTGGAATTCCCCGGGGTCCGATAGTAATAGACTAGTAGCACAATCAAATAAACGGTGCACGGAGACCAGCAGCAAGACGACGAGCGAAAGAAGAAAATTTGAATAGACCCTCGATTTCAGAGTATCGTCATACGCTTATGAAGCCGGGAGTAGATAGGAGCGAATGAGGAGCCCAAACCGCAAAAACACAGAACGAAAAAAGAAAAAAAGAAAGAAAAACGTTTTCCAACCGTTTAACGGTTTTCGCGTACGTCCTCTTCTTGCGAGTTTCGCCGACTCATGTCTCGGGCAGCCGGCATCTTTAGAGTCCAACCAGTGTGAAAACTACACGCTGCCAATCACACTTTCCCAAAAGTCGAACCGGTATCAGCCTTACGCCCCCTTCAGCGACTAAGGCTGCACCCACTTGTACTCCAAGCGTGCAATAAAACACAAAGCTTCCCGCTAAACCTGTTAAGCTTTTCCCAGTGTGCTCAGAAATCCACTGGTATCCAAGAGACTGTGGCGTGGCCCGCTCAAACTCCCGGTTACTAAACAGTACCATCGGCATCAAATACTGAAGCGAACCGGAGCGCGTCCATGCACCTGTGGCGTTTTCACCCCAAGTATCCGAGAAAAAAACAAAACGGTATACGTATCAGGTATACGAGACGTATTTTGTTCTATTCTCTCGCGCTAACAAACTTGAAAAGAAAATGGCCTCTCTGTAGTCTTCCTTCGTACATCTATCGGTGCTCGAGCGTACGACATACGAAAGAAAACTACTCCTAGCTTAGTGCATGTGGATGAGCGCCTCGTGCCTCTGTCTCACCTATATTATTTTTCTCCCGTTTCCCGAACTCGTTTTATTGGATTTCCGTCATTGAAAACTTGAGCGCGGCTTGATTCAGCTCGTTTGACCAGGAATAGTTGGGAATAGCCCCCTGCAAATGTTCTCACGAGTTCCGAGAGTGGAGGAAAACGAGAGACTCCCCTTCCGCAAGGGGCCACAGCCACCAAACGTCCAAGGGCACTCGACAGCTGCTCGCATAATCATCAGCATACCAAACTTTCGGCGTTCTTTTAGGCATCGCCAGTCACACTATTTTACCGTTCGACCGACACGCTCAAAATGTCGTAAACCTCGGGCGCTTCAGATTTTGAGAAAGGAAGAAAGAAAGCACAGCAAATACAAGCAGCAAGAGCTCAGGCGCCAATATCCACGAAGACACTTGTCTGCCCAACAGCAACAGAACGCGAGGCGGAGCGCAATCCTCCACGACGTTCGAAAGTTTGCACTTCGCCTCGGCGTGCATAGCGCGGGATGACACATCGAGCGACTCCACATGGAAATGTCAAAACACTCTGACACGAATGGGCCTCGATAGATCGATATGTATCACCTCTCCGGCCAGTTTCAATATCGGCCATGCAAAGGGTTCGTGCGTGAAGCGGGCGTGAAAACTGGGAACGCGACTTCCCGGTCGTCAAAGCGCGGAGCCGCCAGAGCGACGTCGTCCGACCCTCGTTGCTTGGTAAAGCGCGGTGTACGCCTTCGCTAAAACGCACGATCGCGTGGAAGCCCCGGAGGAAACCATTTGACGGCTAAAGTTTGGCCGCACACACGTTAGGCTGCGATTAGACTTGACCCAGCCGTCCGTGCAATTTTCCTTTCAGGCGGTTCTAGCGACCCAGGTCTTACTGTCGAGGCGCTCCGGAATCGTACGAGCCGTCGACGTCATCGCGCCTAAACGATCCCGGATGGGTTTCCCTCCGAGAAGAAAGCGTGATTTCTCAACCGAGGAAGGGTCCCGAGATCCAACATCGCGCGCCCCCTGCCACATGCACGATGTTCGCGGCCTTTTGTCCGGGGAGAGACACGGTTCGATAGCTTTTCAAGGCGACCTGCATTGCGCGCGCCACGACCGGGGAAAGGTCAAGCAAAAAATAGTCCCAAATTGATTTTTTTTTGTGACTTTCGTTGCGTGTCGTTAGTTGTCCTACAGCCCCTGGCGCCGCTTGATCCCTTCAAAGAGTCGTGTGATGGACGCCTTATAAAAAGCTGTGCTGAGCGAGGACGCTCAATTGCGCGTTGGAACCCCCCCCCCCCCCCCCCCCCCCCCCCCCTCCCCGTTTTCGGTGGCGGGGAGCCTGGCGATGCCCACTGGTGAAATATCGTCTCGGCTCCGAGAAGCGTTAATGAATCGCTTTTCCGCGCGCCCCAAATTTTTGGGGGCCAATGAGACGCCCGCGCGACGAGGCGACGCGGGAGCCCGGTTGCGCGCAGCAGGCCGCACATTCTCGATGCCGCAGCAGGAGCTTCCCTATCTCGCGAGTTCGGGCGCGCGGGTAACGAGCCCTGCAAGAAAACTACGGGCCCGCAAATCGGCGCCATTTTTTTCCGGATTGCTCGGGATGAAGGGGTTGAAAGGGTGTTGGGGGCCGCTGGACGACGGCCGTCAGCCAGCGGACCCCCGACCGAGCGGGCGTGCATAAAGCGGGCGACGGGCGGGCGACCCCGCGGGCTCGGCAAGGCCAGGTCCAGCCACTAAAGGGGCCACGAGGCGTCGAGTGGGCGCTAGTCTCGAAGGTACTTATTCTCCACTAGGCCTATGTCCTGGGTGGACCGGTAGGTGCATTTGAAGCGGATGGCGCGGCTATCGCCGTGCGCGGGCAAGCAAGGGGCGCCCTTACATGAGCAGAAGATGGCCTGCAGCGTCTCCTTGAAGGCCTGGCGGAACTCTCGGTTGAAGTAGGCGTAGATGACCGGGTTGAGCGAGGAGTTGAGGTATCCGATCCAGAAGAGCAGGTCCACCACCAGCTCCGGGCAGGGGCAGGCATCGCCGCACATGGTGATGGACACGTACCACAGGAAGAAGGGCAGCCAGCACAGGATGAAGGCGCCCATAATAATGCCCAGCGTCTTGGCGGCCTTGTGCTCGCGCTTCATTTTGTTAATGGTCCGCTTGGTGGGCGTCGACTGTCCGCTCTCCGGGTCGTCGCCGTGCGAGTTGCGGTGGGGCGGCGCGTGCACGTTGGGCATGCTCTGATCGGTCGAATTTCGACACAGCATGCCGGGTCCCATCTGCGACTTGCAGAGCATCTTCTCCTGGCGTGTGGCCTCGACGTAGATACGCCAGTAGGTGAACAGCATGATGCAACAGGGGATCCAGAAGGACACGCTGCTCGAAATGATGGCGTACGGCTTGTTCACCACGAAGATGCACTCGTCCGGGTGCTCCACCTTGTACACCAGATGCTCGTTCGTCGTGTACCAGCCCAGGAAGATGGGTATGAAGGAGATGAGGCCCGAGCTGACCCAGGCGCAAGTCAGCATGATGGCCACTGTCCGGCCCGTTATCTTGGTTGGGTACTCGAGCGGTTTAATAATGGCGTAGTAGCGGTCCACGCTGATGCAGCACAGGTGCATGATGGACGCCGTGCTGAACAGCACGTCGCACGAGTTCCAAAAATCGCACACAGTCTGGTTGAAGAGCCAGCGGCCCGAAATGGTCACCGACGCGTTGAAGGTCATCGCGAAGAGCGCCACCAGAGTGTCGGCCAGCGCCAGTGACACGATGAAGTAGTTGGTTGTGATGCGCAGCTTGTGGTGCCGGATCACCGACGTGACGACCAGGAGATTGCCGAACACGGCCGACGAGATGATGGTGACCAGGGCCAGCGTCTTGAGCACCAGCTTGAGGACACTCTCCCAGGACTCGTCATCAGCCTGGGCCTCCTCGGTCAGGTTGGCCAGGCTCGCGTTCGGCGCCGCCACCGTCATGCTGCTGCTCTTCGCCGCCGCCTCCGGGCCGCCTGCATCGGTGCCTCTGCCGGCCGACTGGGCCGCCAGAACCGGCGCGCTGCTGCGCGGACGCACCGTCAGGGTTCTCAGCGCCATCTAGGCACGGCCGCCGTAACCCGCCACCGGTGCGCGCAACGCGCGCGCGCCGGGGCGCCCCCGTGCACACGCACATCGATTGGGAGTCTTATCCACTTCGTCGACGGCTAATTACGTTGCCCGCGACCCAACTGGGCTCCGCAAATGTTGCGCCAAGTTCAAGGCGGCCGGACAACTCCCCCTCGTGCGCGCCACCGGCTCCAGGCGCTCGCCGACGTTCGAAAGGCGCGCCGACCCACGCATGGCCCCGAGCCACTTCACCGCAGCTTCTGTCCGCACGCGTGTCGGCCCCGTCCGCGGCTCCACAGCACCAGCTGGCGGCTCATTCCACGCCCGGAAACAGTACTTCTCCGCCATGCAGTCCATCCGAGGCATTTCGCTTCATTCGTTGAAGCTGGGAAGCGACCGGACGAAACGCGCTAATTCTATGAATTTCTTTTCCTCTTAGGGGGTAGCGCGCTTATTATATATTTTATACTGACAGCATACACAAACGCACATTTCTTCGGGGGCCTTCGCAAAAAAAGCAATGGAGATGCGTGACGATGCCGCAGTTCCACCCCTTTCCAGATCACTCGGCGTAGCAATCAAACAAACGAAACAGCAGAGCACTCGATAAAAAGGAGAGCGTTACCACAAACCATAATAAAACACGAATGCAAACAAAAAAAAGAACAAAAACCCGAAAACAGCGCTGAAGAAAAAAAAAATACTTATGATAGTACAAAGCATAAGGTAGGATAAATGGACAAACACACCTAGTAGGGAAAAGAGATCACTCCCGGCAATATAAGAAAATACACAGTCCTGTTCCTCTTTAACGCGTGTATTGAGAGAGTGGCTTGCAGTGGTAGAGTGGTTCATACCTCCTATAAAAACTTTGAACAATACTATATTTACAAAATTTGATACAAGACGCAGCGCCCGTAGCAGAATAAAAAAAAAAAAAAAACTAAATGCACGTAAAAAAGCGATAATTCCTTTAACAATCACAATATGCTGGCCACAATAATCAACAATAATCGAAGGCACATTCCGTGTACATTCGAAATGATAACAAAGAAGACAATATAGAAAGACAACTTCAATGCAACATTCAAAGAATCACGCGATATATACATATTGAACTTCGAAGACAGTGAAGCGATAGAAAAGAACACCGAGGCGATATGCTTACGTTTTAAAAACAGTAAAGAAGTCGAACAGCATCCTCAAACATTGAAATATCGTTGTGATTTACGATATGCACGGGAAGCTTATTCCAATCGTTAATCGTATTTGCAAAATATGAATACCTCAATACATCAATTCTGGATACATATGACCGCAATACTTTGCAATGATTTAGTCTAGCTGATCTGTTGGTAATGTTCCTAAAATAAATGTAAACGTTGAACTTTACTTGGCTATGATAAATCAGAAACAAAAGATTTAACCATGCAATGTTTCTCCTAACCGCTGTCGTTTAACTGGTTACTCTAAGATTATATTTATGTTATTTCAAGACATGCTGCTGAAAAAATGCAGTAGGATTATTCGTGATTTCTTTATGTATGAGTGAAGCAAATTTATTATATTTTTAACACTCTGTATAGTTCATATTCTATGATTTCTGAAGAATGGAGAAGAATGGCTCTGGCACGGTGCATTTTTCATTGAACGAAGGACTCTTTTCTGCAGTAATTAAAGGGTCTCTATAATTGTTTTTGTTGTAGTAAGCTATAAAAAAAAAAAACACAAGTTTCAGCGTGAGTGAACAAATTTATAATGTAATAGTTCCTTCATTCGACAGGGCAATAACTGCTTTATTTTACATATAAGTTATATATAAAACTTAAGCTAGAAGGACCAACTTATGTTTTCGTGAAATAAAATGTCAACGAACTTGTGCGACAAAACACGTTCTAAAATGACGCCATATTATTCTATTAGGATTTCCTGCGTGGTATATTTATTCCGTAGTCCAAAATAATACAATTTGTTGTATTTGCATTTCATTCAAGCCAAGTAGCTGTGAGCCATTCTGATACATTTCTGAGCTCTTTGTGCTCAGAAATCGTGCTCATTTGTGGATTGGTGCTCGATCGTTTGGAACTTTTTTCCAGCAAAACAAAAAAAAACTGCAAGTATCGGCAGCGTATAATGTATAATCTGTCAGGGGTACCTTGAGAGTGTCATTGATATTCATTAGGATTAACAGAGGACCAAGAATAAATTCTTCTGAGACACCGCATTTATTTTACCTATATTTGATCTTTCGTTATTAACATTTGCATTGCAGCCTATTTAATAAATAAATCTTAATTAGATTAAGTGCATTCCTTCTAATCCCATACTTAAAAAGTTTGTTTCAAAAAGAGATCAATAAACACTCGTATCGTAAACAGTTGAGGCTCAAAGTTAAAAATTATATTTTATGGTTAAAATGCGATTTTTGTTGTTCTTTCCTTTTAAAAACCGTACTGTTGCTCCGCTATAATTTTTTTAAGAAGTTTAAAAAAGTTACATAGTTAACCTCCTGTATAATAAATAAATAGGTAGTACCGAAATCGGTTTATAATCATCTGAAATAATTTGGATTTCTTTTTGGCGTATGACTGTTACTCTTGCACTTGTAATTTATCTGCGAATACAGCGGTACTTATGACTTGGTTACATATGTGCGAGATACGTTGGGTATTCAATTCGTCAACAGATTTTGTAGGCTGAGCTTTAACGCCATCTTGATCGCATGCGCTATCATTTTTCCTTATTTTTTCTTAGACGCCGGAAATGTCTATACCAGCAGTAGGGATTTAAAAAAAAAAAAAAAAAGATCAAACGTTCTGTGCTGGATAGGATGAAAAGTTCGTAATGGGCGTTATTTCTAGCGTGTGCACTGGAGCCGCCAGACTCTAAGAAACGCTAATTAAATTTGTCAGCAAGCGTAATTCCTTTGAGCCACATGCCTTCAACTATAACCTCAGTAACACCGATTACTTTCCTTATTGACGTATGATTATAAACATTGTTCCATAGTTTTCTGGAATTATCATAAATGTCTGCATATTTGTTTTCATACTAAAGGCTCCGCGCTCGCTTAATGTTACGGGGTAATTTGTTCCTACTTTTATTAAATTCGTCTACACCTCGTTTTTATAAAGGAGATATAAAGCCTATCACGTTGTTTTCTTATTTTACGAAGTCTGTCACCTATCCAAGGTTTCCCTGATATTCTTTTCTTTTTAAAATTCCCTCGAAGGACACACTTACTCCTAAAGTTATTTTATTATTTTTATAAACGTTTCGTAATCAATATCGGGGTCAGTTGATTGTAAAACATTCCACCAGTGTACTTTGGTGACTAGCCTTTGAAATAATTCGATTTTATAATTGTTTATAATTTTATATGGTTTTGCCGTTTGTGCTAATGGTTTTGTATGTGCTGAGTAGAGTTAAAGAAAGATAGAGGTATCCATAATTATTACACCGGCTTCCATGTCGGTCATATCGTAGTGTGTGAAATAAACGTCCAGATGGGTTTTGGACACATATGTTACCCTCGTCGTAACATTAACTACACATGCATCGCCAAAGTAATAAAATACAGCAACAAGCTCTTGTTTTTTTTTAGGTCCGATGCTAACAGAGAGACTAAAATCACCGCAAATAGCAACATGAAGATCTGCTGGCGTACAATATTATAGCAGATCTTCCAGGTATTTTAAAGATACGGGTATTACTCCGGATTGGGGCTTGTATTCATAGATGTATATAGCAGCAGCACATTTTATCACAAGGAACTCGTAATCCAGTGTTATCATAAAATATTCAGTTATCATGTCAAATTATACACTTTTACATCGAGTGCCACACCTGCCCCTCTTCTATACTTTCTATATATCAATGTAATTCTGTAACCTGAAAAATCCACGTCGTCAAAGTCATTGAAAAAAAATATCTCTGTAAAAGCCACAATGTAAAATTCACGTTGTAGCTCATATACACGAACTCATCTCTGTTACGTCAGGGCGCGGTGGTGGCGCGTCGGTCGCACTTCCGGTCTGGGGCTGTGGGCAGAAGTTCTCACGCCACTCGCGTATTCCTACGTTGTTTTGAAAGGAACCAGACGAAAACATGCCTTCTCGTCAAAACGCTGCGACTGGAGCCTTACCAAAAGTGTCGAGAAAGGTTTGAAGGTCAGTTTTCACGTGCTCGGTTCGTCCGAGAATCTGGATATGTGCCCAGGGAAAAGCAGACGCCGTCGGACAACGATTGCTTGGCGGGAAGCACTTTGGGTTGAATTCACGGATACTTGTGGTCATCAGATTTATTTGTTTTGTTCCAACATGAACGCCAGAAAACCGTCATGTTGTGCGGACCACCTGTGGACTACGTTCAGTGCGCCTTCAAGTTCAAACGGCCACCTGATCGTTCGAACTCTCGTCTGTTCTTTCAAACGTTTCTGCTTGTCGTCTGCTCTCTTAGACGACGCCGGCCCGTAGACCAAATGTTGGCCCGGTGCTTGCGATAAGAAGTAAGTGCAGGCCTCAAAAGACTTAAATCTGAAGGTTGGTAAGCAGGCTCGATGTAAACAGTAGATACAAAAAGATGTTGATCATTGTTACCAGTGACCATCACCGACTTGTAATCCCTGATTCACTTGGTCCGATTCTGCTTGCAATTTTCAGTATCGACGTCGACTATCTCAGCTACGGTTCCCGCTTTTGCAGCCCGAGTGGCGTCGCGACTGAAAATTGCAAGCGAAATCGCATCATGCGAATCAGGCTTTAGCGTACATACTGCGGCGTCCACACGGAATGAAGCTCCACATGTCACATTGTTTACGCGAAGCTTTGCGGTGTAACTAGCCTCGGTAATTTCGCTGACGCCGCTCAAGTTGTCAGACATCGCCAGGAAGACGCAGAATTAACAATTCGAACGTGAAAAAGGGCAGGGGGACTCACACCGGCGCCGACAACATCGCATTTCAATGGTTTGTTTATGGGAGACGGCGAGCTTCTTGCCCACACCCCCATCGCGCATGCGCGGCGCCGGTAGCGTCCGCTAGGGGCGCTCCGGTTTGTTTGTAAACATGAGTTGGTGTATAGAAAAACAAATAAACTGATTGTTCTTTAGTCTTTAGACTTCGAGCATTCAAGCGTAATAAGAAGACTGCTCATCACGGATGTGATAGTGTTACAACAAAATAGGCTCTCAATACTTGCATGTCTAAAATAGCTCGTCATGCTCGAGGATGACAGGTTAAATACCTGCGAAACATGGGT